TCTTTTTTTAAATGTAACCCTGCCTTGGTTTCCTCAACAGAACTTGAACCTTTTGACTGTGAACAATGCCTATGGGTGTTTAAATGGGATGTGCAAAGTTTAGTGCAAATGTCGCCTATAGGCACGTTTCATTTCTGAGCGCTCCTGCAATCAAAAGGTCAAGCTGTGTTTAGTGGTACACTGGGTGATGGAAGGAAGCAATGGAATTACAAAGCTGGAGGGCGCATTTTAGCTCCACCATTCACTGGCCATGGGGTCTTGCCACTGAGTTGCCTTGTCAGTAAAATAGCAGAAAAACAACCACTGGTGGGTTAGGGGAGCCGCCTGGCACTATGAGCTGGCAGCCCCAAGGCAAGAGTGACATGCCATTGAGATCAGATGCCATAGAACAGGGAGCGAGATCCTTGAAATAAAGGTTGGGGGTCAAGGTCAGGTTTGCCTTGGCAGTGTCTTCTGTAAGGGGACTGAGGCCAGAGGCAGCTGCATTTATGGATGGGTAGTGAGAGCTGGCAGGGCCTGTATGAGGCCTAAGCCTAGTGCTGTGGTGTGTGGGCTCAGCATCACTGCTGCCCACTTTCCCAAACGTGCCCAGGACCCTCCAAGGTTGGTTTCCTCCTGTCTCAGAGGTCTGGCCCTCTCACTATCCAGCATCTCACAGAACCAAAACAGCAGTGTCTTACCAGGTGCTAGGTCCTTACCTTGCCATATTCATATCTTACCACAGCCTTAGAAAGTAGAAATTATTCTTCCCCCTTACAGAGGGAGAAGCAGAAACTTAGAAGGGTGATGTGAACCGCCTGACCATCACACAACATGGAGGTGGTGGGATATGGGAATCAGATCCCAGAGAGTCTGACTCCCAAGGCTCTGCTCTCTAACACCTTGCAGAGAGGAGCCTAGGAGAGGCAACTTGGCAGAAGTCACTAAACCCCAACCAGAGCAGGGCCTCCAAATGTACCAGGCCAGACCCAAGGTGTACTGGAATAAGAGTCCACTCTCTCCAGCCTTTACAGAGCCCCTTCATCTGAGCTCTGCACCTTCCAGATGGAGAGCTCCTCCACTACAGCATGTGCCTTCGTGCCCCCTCTCCTGCCAGCCACATCCTCACCCCTCCTGGCAGATTCCCCACCCAGCAGCTGGGCCCTAAATCTATAGGCAACTGCCAGGAACCCATATATGGGTCCAGAAGACATTGCCCCTAGCCGGTGCCCTCTGGTGACAGAAGGTGGCCCCACCTGGTCCTGGGGGCACCCTGTCAGAGGGTCCTGCCGAGGGAAGGGTTATGTCTGTCCCATGTGAAATCTGCCCACTCCTGCTCACTCCCATTGCAACCCTGTTTCCACAATGGGTTCCTTTTGGGCTTTACTTGAGTAGCCTGGCAGTCCTGTCAGGGAAACCCCCCCTTACAGCAAGTGAAACTGGGAGTAGAGGCAGGACTTTTCACACTCTGACAAATTAGAACATTTTATATATTGCAAAGGAAACTTTCTGAACTTTCCATAGGATGAAGACTGAATAGATAGGAAGGTTTCTCAGAGCCCACGTGTATATACATATCTGTCAGTCACTCAGGCCGGGAGGGACAAATAGAAAAGCAGTGAAAGATATGGAATTTGATGCTGAACTGCAAGGTTTCACTCCCACCTTGGATCACTTACCAGCTTTGTGGCCTTAGGCAAATTACTTATTCTCTGAGTCATTTTGCAAAGCGAGTATGATGATACTTTTCTTAATTAAGAGGATTAAATAAGTTAATATATGCAAAACCCTGGAAACAAGGCCTGGCATATTTTTAGCGATCTACATATAGTAACTATTAATATGATGCTCAGCTTCCTCTCAAATAAAAATGCCCGTGTATAGAATTTTACAGGGCACATGTATGTTCTTAGTATCTTATCTTCCCTAGGCAGGAGTCATTTGAGAGACAGTGTAAGAGTGTGGGCATATGGGAGCAGTACCATGGAGTCCAGTTTGTCACCTCTGAGGCAGAGCTCTTCCTCTCTTCCTCCCTGTGACCTAGACAGCCAGACAAACAGCCAGACAGACAGCTGAGGCTGCAGAGCTGAGCAGGTGACACTGGGTGGGGAGCCTTCAGACGGCAGGGTCCACACCTCTTAGCTCTTCCTACATCCAGTTAGCAGATTTTGAGCCCCAGTCTGTGTTGAAAATGCTCAGCCGTGGAGGGTAACTGACCAAGCTGGACGCAGCCCTGGCTGTCCTGGAGCTTGGTGTCTGGCAGGGGTAAAAATAAAACAAGCAGTTACAACACAGTTTCGATCCCTGCTGTGATGGGGCAAAGATGGTGGGTCAAATTCCTGGGCCAGACTATAGAGAGTCTGGGGGCTTTCTGGGAAAGCTTTTTGCAAAGGTAAGGTTTGAAAGATGATCTGGATCTATCAGGAAGCCTCCAGAGAGAACAGCTCAGAGATGAGAGCAGCTACCCTGGCTGGAGTGAGCCGGAAACTTGGGTGGGACCCGATCTGGGAGAGGCTTGTGAGCTGAGGCAAGGGTCTTGTTCAATATTCAGAAGGCTTTGGGGGTGTGCTCTAGGGGTTTTAAGCAGCAGTCCCCAACCTTTTTACTACCAAAGATCAGTTTCATGTAAGACAATTTTTCCATGAATGGGGTTGGGGGTGGGGCAGGAGGCACAGCTCAGAAGGTGATGCCATGTGGCCCGGTTCCTAACAGGTACGGACTAGTACCAGTTCCCAGCCTGGGACTTGGGGACCACAGGTTTTAAGCAAGGAAATAAGACGATTGGTTCTTTCTTTAGAAAGATCAGAAACATGCTGGGAAGAAGAGAAGAGAGGAGGCTGGGAGGCAGGAAAAGAAGATCAAACTACCAGGAAAGTGCCCCTGGGGATGAAGCGAAGGATGACAGGTGAGAGACATATTTAGGAGGGGGAATTTGCGGCCACAGTTAGAGGGGTGGTGGGAGTTCAGGACAACACCCAGGCTCCTGAGTTGAATGAGGAGCGGCTTCCCTGAGATCAGCAACACCAGAGGGCGGAATGGGCTTTGGGGAGAGGATATGAGGGCACATTGGGACATAGACATAGAGTTGTCTTGGAGGAGTTGTCTCTGGAGTTTAGGAGAGAGTTGGACTAGAAATATGGATTTGGGAATTACTGGTACATAAATGCAGCTAAGACATGACAATGGGCTAAGTGAGAAGAAAATGTCAAGGGACCAGAACCTCCTTGAGAGGCCAGTGGGTCAAGGGAGAATTTCCAAGGAAGCTTCAAGTGGGACCATGGGAGAGGTTGGAAGAAACTCAGAAGATTTGAACTTTGGGGAGCATTCAGGCCGAGGGCGGGGTTAAATGGTATCCAATGCTGCCTAGAAGTCATGTAAGGTAAGGATTTAAAGGGGTCACTGGATGAACAACCAGATTGTTAGCGATATGGTTACTGCGGTTGCCGCAGAGAATGGCCGGCAGAAGGTGACTGCATGGGGTGGAGGAATGGGAAGGAGAAACACAAATGAAGACAAAGGGGACCACCCACATAAGCTGTTTGGGAAGCAGTTTGGTCCTCCATTGTGTGAGGAGGAGATGGGATGGCTGCAGGGTTGTTAGAGGGAGGCACATGGGTGTGTTTTGTGAAGACAGAGGGGCCAGTAGGGAGGCGGGGAGGAGAGCATGGCTGGGGTAGAATCTGAAGAGTTGGCAGGAGAGGAGACCTGGCTTCCCATGAGAGAGCAGAAGCAAGTAGGCTCATCAGTGTGGTGGCAGAAGCTGAAGGAGGGACCTTCTGGTGGCTCTCCTTTGTGGAGATGACAAAGCCAGCCCCTGGTATTGAGGTTCAAGGAGAGAGGCGAGTTGAAATAGCTGCGCTGATAAGGACAGGAAGCTCTGAGGCCCAGCTGAGGCTGGGAGTATGGATGGACAGTACAATCAGGATGTCAGTGTCCCTGTCCTGTGTGATGGGCAGCTTGGGGAAGGCACGGGAAGCCGAAAAACCCGCTGGGGATTGGCAAGAGGCTGCATGGGGAGGCTGGCTCTGCATGGGGAGGCTGGCTCAGTGACAGAGTGGTGAGCAGAGCAAGGGTCCAGTGAAGTGGGAAGAGAATGGCAGGGTCTTGGAGGGCCCAGTGTGGAGCCCTGACCTCACCTCTCCCTGGCTGCCCACCATGGGCATGTCACTTCACCTCCCACATTTAACACGGAATCCACATCTACCTTCAAATTTGTGGTGAGAATAAAATGGATATGGTATGTGAAAGTGCTTTGTAAATAGGATGCATTAAAAGCAACCTCTGGCATGAGATCAGGTATGTCAGCAGCCGTTTCTTGGTGTGGATGGGAGGAGCTGTGGAGATTGGGGAGCTGGGATACTCAAGGCCATAAGCACAGAACAGCTGCAGGCTCCAAGGGCCAATGAGACACAGTCGTGGCTTCAGAGAAGTTTGGCCACAGTGTGACCTAGGGTGTGGGACTGCTTCTAAAACCACCAGCCCTTCCTGGGGCTGCTTGGCCGGTTGACCTGGCCATGACTTGCAGGAGAACCCACACTCTCCACAAAAGTTTCCCTGCATCATGCAGAATGAAAATCCAGAAAGCTTCTCTGGTCACTCAGACCCAGGCTCCCAAGCCCACGGACAAGGCCTCAGGGGAAGGAATGAGGGAGGGGAAAGACTGATTATAAAAGAGTCCAAACAAGGAGACAGCAGAGCCCAGGTGCCAGTGTCCACAGGCCTGGAGACTTTAATATTCTGCTGATGGGAGTGGCCTTAGGCTGGACAGACACTGATACCCACTAGGCCTTTTTGAATGACGTTAGCAGCTCATCCAATCATGCTTCTTGCTGGTGAGGGGAAGGGGCTGTTCATTTACTTCCTCCTGGCTTTTTGAGAGGATCCCTGACCACCTCTGCTCAGCCTAGGTATCCAGCTGCTGAGGGGAGGAGGCTGCCGTGGTGGGGTGGCCCTTCTCCATGCCAGCTCCCCACCCCTATTGGTCATGCTAGCTCTAAGCCCATGCTGATGCTGTGTGGGCTTCACAGCCTAGAAGCAATGAGGGTCTCCCGGGAGCCCTGACGCTGGTTGAGGCTGTCCAGGGAGGACCTATGGCTCAGGCACTCCAGGGCATTGGCCATGCCCTCTTGGGACTCTCGTCCTTTCAATAGCTCTGCTGCTGCAACTTCCATTTCCTCTGGTTCCATCTGACAGGCATCTGCCAGTGCCTGGCCTGTCGCCATGATGAAGCCAGCATCATCTGCCAAGGTACTCAGGCCCCCTCGAACCAGAGCCTGTAGGGAAGAGAGGAAGCTGAAGTGGGGTCTTCCCAGGCAGCTGCCTTTGCTGACTCTACCCTCTGTTGATGCCAGGCCATCACGGGCTGCACCCCTCAATGCAGCGCACTGCTGTATCCTAGCCCCCAGCTCACCTCTTGGATCAGCTGGGCTGTAGCTGGAGCCAGGTACCTAGAAGTCCCCTCCTTGGTGCCCCCGCCATGGGGTGTTTCCTCACATGCCTCCTCACCTGGTATGGAGTGCCTTCTCTCGTCAGGCGTGGGAAGGTCTGCCCTGGGGTGCTGTTCCAAACGCACAGAAACAAAGACCCCCCACAGGGATGCTGGAAGCCACAGATCCAGAAAAACCCCAGCTCATCTGA